AGCTCTTCCGGAATACGCGGGAATGAAGGCTCAAAGCAGGTATCTTTTAAATCCTGCAGGGTTTGGGAAACATGGCTCCATCCACTGTTTCCAAAACTCACCTCAAGACAAGAAATGCCTGGCGCATTTATTTAAAATCCAGATTCCTGAGCTTCAACAGATAACACGGATTCAGAATTTCCAGGGGGAGGCCCTGGTAGGTCGCAGAGTTCACATGTCCCCCCAGGTAAGCCTTACTGTCAACTTTAGAAGGCAAAGGGAGAGAAAAGAGAGAGCTCTGAGGTTGGAAGAAGGGCTGCTCGGCAGCTTCCCGTTGAGTTAAACATGACACTTACCAACAGCACAGCTATCCCTCTCTTGGGTGTTCCTGACGGAAATAAAGGCGTGCGTGAGGATGTTCCTAAAAGGGTTATTCACAACGTCCCGGACTGGGAACATCCCAGCAGCACCCAAGGAGCACGGCTAGGTGAACCGTGGTTGAGCCACACACTGGCGACGCGGCGGCAGTGAGAAAGCATGAGGTACTGACACACACCTCAACGCGGAGGAGTCTCTCAGACCTACTGTCGAGTGTGAAAAGGCAGACACACAGAGTACAGAGTCTACTTGTACCCAGTTCAAGGACAGGCCAGACTAACCCGCGGTGATAGAGATCAAATAGTGGCTACTTCTGTGTTTGTGCCCGTGTGTGTGTGGGAGGCTGTAGAGTTTGATTGGAGGGTGGAGAGAGAGAGAGAGAGAGAGAGAGAGAGAGAGAGAGAGAGTGCGGTTCCCTCCTAGGATGCTATGCATATAGCAGGACTTCCCTGCATTTGGGGCTCACTTGAGAGGACCTTGCTTACTTGTCCCTTTGTTTACTGCTTATTTGAAATATACATCATACAGGGGCGCCTGGGTGGCTTAGTCGGTTAAGCGTCCGACTTTCGCTTGGGTCATGATCTCGCGGTTCGTGGGTTCGAGCCCCGCGTCGGGCTCTGTGCTGGCTGCCAGCTCGGAGCCTGGAGCCTGTTTCAGTCTGTGACTCCCTCTCTCTCTGACCCTCCCCTGCTCACGATGTCTCTCTCTTCTAGAAATAAATAAAAAAACATTTAAAAAAATTAAAAAAAAAAGAAATATACATCATACAATGAGCTGTATACAATTAAGTGAGCAAATCTTAAGTGTACAGCTCAGTGAACATTTACACGTTTACACTGAGTATTTGGCCTTGTGCAAAGTGCTCTTCTAGGCTCCTGGAAATGGAAGCCAAGGCTGTATAAGACACAGAGCCTGTTTGTGTGAACTTTATAGTCTGGTGTGGGACATACGACAATGCAAGACAGAAGAGTAAGTTTTAATTCATTCACTCGGCATGTGCTTTGTGAGCACCTACTATGTGCCAGGCACTGAAGTCAGCACAGGAAATGCAGCAGTGACCAAGATCCGGCCCTGCACTCAGAGTCCAGTCAAGTTTTGGAGAGCAGCACGATGAAAGGTTAAACATGTTTATTCCAACTCTTAAATATTTCCCAAGTTCATTCTGATCTTGTCCCACTGAGCCTGTCCTAGATTAGGCTCCTACCATCTCTACTCTCTGGGCTATTATTTTTAAATATACTTTTTTAAAACGTTCATTTATTTTTGAGAGAGAGAGTGTGTGCACATGCACAAGCAGGAAAGGGGCAGAGAGAGGGAGACACAGAATCCGAAGCAGGCTCCAGGCTGAGCTGTCAGCACAGAGACTGACGCTGGGCTGTAACTCACAAACCGCGAGATCATGACCTGAGCCAAGGTCAGATGCTTAACCGACTGAGCCACCTGGGTGCCCCTCCCTGGGCTATTATAGTAGTTTCCTCTCCAGCTATGTGTCTAGTTTTCCATCTCTGATTTGTTCTCCAGGCCAATAGCCCTTATTCAAGTGCTCAATCTAAAAAACATTCAGTTAGTGGTTCCCTGTGTTAATGGTGTCAATCAACGTGGGCTTGAATCCTCACTTAGAGGGTCTACACTGTGACCACAGGCAAAGTCTTTAAATGCCCTGAGCCTCATGTGTGTTTCTGTAAAACGGAGACAAAATAATAGTAACGACAAACATAGCAACAACAACGCCCCCTATCACCCTGAGGAGGTTGAGCTTTAAGGTGTCATTACAGGTACTCATGCAGCAGGTGCCAAACCTTCCATCTCACCGCTTGCTCCTCCTGCTTCTCTGCGCTGTCCAGTCATGTCAACGTGCTTCTATATATAGACACATCCTTTGCTTTCACACCCGAGCTCATGGTGCTCCTTCCATCTGGAATACCTTCACTCTACCTTCTTCTGGCTCGGCGGGTCTTACTGGGCTCAGGACTTGGCCCAGGCACTGCCTCCTCCAAGTGGTTCTCCCTGAAGCTGCCTATGGAGCTGAATGCCCTTGTCTGGACCCCCCATAGCACCCTGGATTGATTTGTCTTCCTGTTTCTATTTGTCTCCATTTGCTCAAGGGCGAGCTCCTCCCAGGCAGGCCCGAATGAAAGGTTTCTTTGTACCCCCAGCCGTGGACCCTTCCTGATCAAGGCAGGTGCTGGATATGTCCACTGACTTGAGCAGAGCATGCCAAGCATTTTCTTGAGGTAAGTGGCCTTTGAGTTGGCCTTGAGGTACGGATAGGACTTTAAAAAATTATTTTAAAACAAAGCGTACATGCGCACATTACCAAATCCAAGGGGGAACAAAAAGGCTTACAGTGAAAATTAAAAGTAGGTCACCTTTCAACCACCCAGCACCCCTCCCCAGAGGCCGTCGTCGGTATCAGTTTCTGAGTGTTCTATGCAGGCAAGAATGGTCTGTCTTCTCCCCTATGCACACACTTTATTTTGCAAAAATTTAAACCAACAGAAAAGTTATAAGGATAGTACAATAAACACTCTTCGCCTAGATTCACCAATTAACGTCTGGCCACATCATGCAAAATATTTCACAAGCATTATATCATGTAATGCTCATAACAACCATATAATCATGCCAATTTTGTGGATGAGGTAACTGAGGCAGCAGGCAGGTGAAGGGACTTGCCCAAGGCTACAGAGTCGAGAGGGTTGGTGCTGGGTTTCCCCCTTCGGCTGCCACAGGACTTTGATCCACCTTTCTTCAGATTGCTTTGGAGGAAAGCCTTTTCTCACACTAAGCTGAAATCTACCTCCCTGGGATCTTCACCAGATGATCAGTGGAAAAGTACACAGCTCTGGAAGCATTTGCTACTTCTCCTGACTCCTTCTCATTCCCTAAGCAACAGCTGCTGTCGCTGCTGTTAACACAGGCTTCAATGTCACCTCCTCTGTGAGGGCTGAGTTAGCTCACCCCACTGTTTAAAAACTCTCGTGGTCCACTTCTGGCTGCCAGCAGGATGACATTTGCACTGCCGAGCTTGGAATCCAAGGCCCAAGGCCTTGGGTGATCTGGCCTCATGAATCCCTTTAGCCTCATCTGTCCTGCTCCTTCTTCCTCTAACCTCCACCTCCAGCCGCTCTCAGCCTCTCACCATCTGCTTAAATTTCCCCTCCTCCTTGAAGCCACCCCTAATTCCCCCAAAGAGCCCACGTCCCCCTCTCTGGGCTCCTGGGGCATCTGCCTATGCCTCCTTTAGTCTTCTCCAGGCGGTCTTTTGGTCACGAGACTGGACAGTGAAGGACTGGAGTGACAATTTGGCCCCCTGGCAGAACGACCCTGCACAAATTACTTCAGGCGTCTGAGACTTAATTTCCTCAAACACATAATGGGGGAAAGAATGCCTAGCTCAGTACCTGGCATAGAGTCAGCCTTCACTAATCTCCCATAATAGAACTGACAGCTCTTCAAGGCTGACATCTACTCTTAGTCATCCCTTGAAACTCTACCTTCTATTTCTTAACTTGCCTGAGCCTCAGCTTCCTCATACGTAAAATGGGGATGATGATGGAGAGGCTGCGAAACTTTAATGAGCTAGCGCGCAGCAAGCACTCTGCAACAGTAGCCCCTATGGATAATGCGAACTACGGCGCGGGGGGGTGGGGGTGGGAGGGAACCGGCACACAGTAGGTGTTTAATTAATCCGCTCAGAGCCGGGCTCGGGTGTCCAGAAAGGGCGCGGAGAGGCGAGGTTGGAAGTGAGAGGTTTGCAGAACGATCCGGGAGGTCGGCTCCGCCCCTTCCCCCGCGAGCCCCCGCCCCAGCCCTTGCAGCTGTCAGGACCCAGCCAGCTCCGGCGCCAGTCCACCAAACCTGAACGTCCCATCCCGGCACCCCCACCTTCCTTCGCCTACACAAGTTACCTTGCGCCCGGCTAACCTTTGTCCCCGCCTCCGATTCCTATTGGCCAAGGGTTTTCTTTGTTAGCTGGAGCGCGCTCCTCCCATTGGCCGGCAGCGCTGCCGATCGCGTGGAGGGCGTGGCCCCGCCCCGCGCGCTGCCCCTATCTCTCCCTCCTCCCCCGCCCGCCCGCCCGCGCGCCCACCCGCCTGCCCCGCCCCGGGAGTGCGCGAGGCGCTCCGCTACCATTTGCTGCGGCCGCTGGGCGCCGAGGGCAGCGGTGGCGGCGGGGACCGACCCCGGGGACCGGCAACTACCCGGCGCCTGGGAGGCGGGCCGGAGCGCGGGGAGGCAGCGGGCCCGGGAGGCCGCGTCCATGGGCCCGCGGCGGCCGGGCGGCGGCTGTGCGGGCGGGCGGCGGGGACCGCGCGCTCTGTGAGGGCCCGGGCGCGCGGCTCGGCGCCGAGGTGCCCCGGCGCGCCGTGCAGCGCGGCGCCGTCGTGCGAGGAGAGGCCCGGTTCACATCCCGGGGCCCGTGAGGCCGCCTTGACCGCCGGGGGCGCGCGCTCCGGCCGCGGCCGGGCCTGCGTCCGCGGCCCGGCTGTGAGGCGGCTGGCCGGCGGGGGCATGCCTCGGCGCCCGCGCTGAGCCCGGCTTGAGTCCGCCCCGAGCCCGCCGTGCATGGTGCCGCCGCCAGCCCGCCGCCGTCCGCCGTCCGCCGCGGAGCGCGCGCCGGGCCGGGCCGCCGGGCCTGTGCCGCCGCCGCGCCGACCATGTCGGCGGCCAAGGAGAACCCGTGCAGGAAATTCCAGGCCAACATCTTCAACAAGAGCAAGTGTCAGAACTGCTTTAAGCCCCGCGAGTCGCATCTGCTCAATGACGAGGACCTGACGCAGGTGAGAGGGTGGGGGTCCAGGGGTCGACCGCGAAGCCGAGACCCGGGCCCCGCGCTGGGCGGCCCCCCGACGGCGCCCTCGGGCTGGAAGTTTCCGGGCGCGCAGTCTCCCCGCTAGGTGTTGCAGGCAGTCGGCCGAGGCGGGCGAGAGTGCCTCGCAGGGGGAGCTGGCCGCCTCACCCCAGTTCTGACGCCGGTGAGACCCCCCTCCTGTTCAGGAAAGGAGAGCGGTCGTTGCCTGGTTCCCGAGGCGGGCGGGGGTGGGGGTGCCTCTGAAGGATCCTAGGGAAAATAAAAACGGAGCAGAGAGAATGTACGTGAGTCCTGGGGAGGGCGGTGAGGATGGAGAAGGGGGAGGGGGGAAGGGGGGCAGCGGGAAGTGTATTGATAGAGCCGGGACAAAGGGAAAATCCTCAAGTATGCCGAAAAATAACATCCTTTCCCGTTCCCATAGCCCTGCCGTGTGATTCATGCTTTTTGGGTGACTCAAAAATGCCTGGTTTTTCTTAGGAGGAACAAAGCGCTTGGGGATTGCTTGCTGCTTCGCAGTACCCCCCATAGAGTCTGTTTTAGGACTCGACTTCGACTTGTCCCCCCAGAGTGGCCAGGGGAGCAGGGCGGTCAGGGTGGACTGTGGGCTTCCGTTCTGTCAAACCCAGCGCCTCCGTTTTCTGAAACACTGCCACTGTCAGTGATGGGAGAGAGGTGAATGGTCCTCAAGTGTGGGGAGGAGGGTCTCGTGCTTGAACTTGAACTGGTGGGCTTTTTGTTGATGCGAGAGCCGGGGGCTCTTCTCCCCACTCTTTTCTCCCAGCTCTCTCTCATCTGGCAAGGGATGAAGAGACCTGCGTGCCTTTGGGAAAGTGTTCACTTCTCATGGCCTTGTCTGCCATACGAGGGCTGTGGACTAGTTAGCAGCTCCAACACCTGCATCAGAGTCACAACCTAAAAATACAGAGTCTTGGGGCCCAATTCCTGGAATGATCTAGGAGATGAAGGAATTTGTGTCGTAACAGCTCCCCCAGAAGTTGGGCTGCAGCCCCCACTGGCCTTAGGGAACCCCTGCCCAGGATGCTCTCCGGGCTCCCAGTGTACCAGAGAATCCTCAGGACCCCCGGGAATCTTTGGAGCACTTGGAGGGCTGTGGGCCAAGCAGAGGCCTTGGATTTCCTGACCGAGCCTTGTCTGCATCCCCTTGGGCTGGGTCTGTGGCCACCCCTTGCCTCTCCCCCAGTCTCAGTCCTCTTCAGAGCTTTCTCTAATCCCCCGAATGAGGCCGGTGAGGCCGGCCGGGGGACCTCCCTTCACATTCCAGTCCGGTGTGACCTAGTGGTAGCCACTCCTTTTGCAGAAGAACCCCTTAGATGGAAAACATTGCTTTGAAGTGAGCGGCCTGGCTGTTTTTAATGCTACTTAAGTACTCGCAGGGTTTGACTTGTTTACATGGCAGACCATAGTGGGGTGGCAGGGCCCGGGTTATGGCCTGAGACATGGTGTCTTTCCTCTGAGAGTAGAATCCCAACAGCCAGACAAGACTCCTTTCATCTAAAACCAAAACCTTAACCAAACACTCATGGCTGCAGAGTCCTAGATTTTTAGGACAGAAGGGCCAGGTCGGTTTGCGAAGAGTAGAACGCCGCTTCCTGGGAAGCTGTTCTGGGGTGGGCTTTTTAGGGAGACTCCCTCTTCTCAGCTGGGTGCCTTTTCTGGGGTGGGGGGAAGCAGTTGATGTGGTGATGACGGACTTGGACCAGGAGTCAGAAGACCTTTCTTCTCTCTTCGCTGTCACTTTCAGCGAAGTGAAAGTGTGTGACCTTGAATAAGTTCTTTTGTCTCTGTATAGTTTCATTTCCTCTTCTATAATTTGGGAGTACGGATCCCTGGCTTACCTCTCTCACCGTGTGGAAAGCAAGGAATGGTATCTTATTAAACTCCTACAGTTAAAAAAAAAAAACCCAAAACAAAACCAAAAATCACCTACCGAGCAGTACACCTGGATTTAGGAAGCTTATGGGTTTGGCAAGGGTTGTTCTGAGAGTTTTCTGGTTATTACAGACAGCTGCCAAAATTGGTAGATTGGATGTTTACACCTCTTGAGGGCTGCTTTCTGCTTCTTAAGCTTAGATAAACTAGAGTAGGATCTGCATATTTGAGTTGAATCTGTTAAATTCTTTTTTTTAAAAATTCTGTTGATTATTTGGATGAAGCGAGAGTGTTGTACATTTAGAGTACTGTACTCTTCGACTGTCTTCACAGTTGAATTGTGGATTTTAAAACAGGCCTGAGTCCTCCAGGGCACAACTGGAATGGTAGTTTCTGAAATAATGAGTGGGGTTATTTGTGCTGGGAGAGATTAGGCCAGCCTTCCACCTCCTGGGATCTTTCAGGAAGAAACTGCTCTTGAAAAGAGAAGGAGGGAGACTCAGGGCTGTTGCCAACAGCGCTAGCTGCTGCTCTCTGCATCCGGCCTCCCCCAGCCTTACTCTCATCCTCTTGGCTCCATTAGAAAACCTCAGCCAATTGGTTCCCATCAGTCTCCCCCAAGGCCCTGCTTCCTGCTGCCCCTCCCTGCCCTGCGCTTATTTTAGACCTTCAAGGCTGGAAGATAGATCAGTGATCCTGTGGCCACCCCCTCTTGAAGGCATTTATCCTTCAGTCCCGTGTGTTTCCCTACACGCATATGGACTTGAATACACAGATAAAACCTTATTTAACCTAAATGATACATGTATTTAAACTATATATGTATTTGTTCAGGAACATATTTTCTGCTTAGTGATGTGTCTTACAGTTCTTTTCGTGGTGTGACATATAAATACACCAAAATTATTTTGCATATTGTGCCCTCAGGGATGTGGCCAGAGTTTAACCGCCCTCTTATTGATGGACAGCAAGGTTACTTCTGGGTTTGGTACACAGTGAATGCTTCAGCACACAGTTTTCTAAATGCTTTTGGGTGTGTGTGCGTGCACAAATGCAAGTATTTCTCTGGGGGCAGAGAGCTAAAAATAGAATGGCTGGGTTGACATCAAGCACACTGAATTTTTTTTAATTTTTTTTATTTTACAGATATCACTAAATTGCCTTCCAAAAAAGGCTGTGTCATACCATTGCCAGGATTGGATGTTATCAGATGATTTAATTCTTTAATAATTTCCCTAATTACCCGTGAGGCTAAGCCTCTTTTTATAATATCTATTACAAATGTTTTGTTTCTTTTCTCCACTGCCCATTCATATGTTTTTCTGTTCGGTTAATTTCCCCACCTTCCCCTCCCTCCCCCAAACTGGTTTCTAGGAGCTCTCTATATATACTCTAGGTCAGGGGTCCATGGACTCCCTCTCTGGAAGGCAAGATAGTTAATATTTTAGCAGTGTGGGCCATATGATCTTTGTAGTGACTACACAACTTTGTCATGGTAGTGCAAAAGTTACAGTGCAGAGCCACTTTAGACAGTACATAAACTAATGGGTATAGCTGTTTTTTTTTTTTTTTAATGTTTAATTTTGAGAGAGAGAGATCATGAGCAGGGGAGGGTCAGGGAGAGAGGGAGACACAGAATCCAAAGCTCCGGGCTCTGAGCCCCTAGCTGAGTTTCTAATAAAACTGTATTTACAAAGATATAGGGGTGCCTGGGTGGCACAGTCGGTTGAGCAGCTGACTTCGGTTCAGTTCATGATCTCGCGGTTCATGAGTTCGAGCCCTGTGTCAGGCTCTGGGGTGATAGCTCGGAGCCTGGAGCCTGCTTCGGATTCTGTATCTTCCTCTCTCTCTGCAGTCCCCTGCTCCCGCTCTGTCTCTCTCAAAAATAAATAAATGTTAAAAACACGTTTTTTAAACTATTTACGAAGTTACAAAGACAGGTAGCTGGCAGAATTTGGCCTATAAACTATAGCTTGCCGACCCCTTCTCTAGATATTAATCTGAACCTGTCATATAGTGCATGTATTTTCTCCCAGTGTCAGTTTTAATTCTGTGTGTGGTCATTTCTCTTTTTTCATAGGATAGTTTTAAATATGAATGCAGTTAAAAATCCATGTTTGCTTTTTTGTAGTTTTAATCTCATGCTTATGAGGGTCTTGTTTTCAAGATTCTAAAGTAGTCAGTCTTCTATACTTGTATTTCCCCTGTAGTTATTTTTATGCTTAACTTTCCAATCCATCAGATTATATTTAGGAAAATAATTTTGACCTAAAGCAGAAGCTCTAAAAGATTGTCTTGAATCATCCAGGTAAAATGCAGTAAAGGTCTTCTCCAGGTGCATGTTGGCTAGGACGGAAGGAGTCCTCAGACACTAGGGGCGGGATATTGGAGGTTGATTGGAGGTGGGGATTGAGGAGACCTGGGTGGTTAACCGTGCCTTTAACAAAGATTGATGATAATAGACTGGGAGTAGGTTTGTGGGGTAGGGAGGAAACAAAACTAAGACAGTAAATTCGACCTGATGGGGATGGAGGTCCAGTTTGGTTCTTAGGTGGAATCAGCCACTCAGGCAAGTAGGTGGTTAGATGAGTGGCGTGGGCTCAGTGGGAATTCTGAAGTCAAGGGAGTGAGTGCAGTCAGTCACTTAGGAGGCCACATAGAGTGAAACAAGGGGAAGCAGGTGGGGAAGGGGGGTGAATCACAGGGGTTGGTGGTTAGTGGGAGCAGTAGGTCTGGAGCCCAGGGTTCTTGGCTTCTGGGTCCCCTTCCCAGCCTTAGTGTGGGTTTCAGGGGTTGGTGGTGGCTACTGACCTGACGTGATGTATCATTCTCCTGCTGACTTGTATGACTTGAGTCATGCCTTTTGTGGAAGGAGTCCTGCATCTGAACTTAAGTTCTAGTTCCCTCTACTGCTAGTATCCTCTACTCTAATGCTGATGGCCTGCTGTTTTGTTGTGGGACCCTGGCTGGGCTGTTTTCTCTCCTCAGGCCTCCCCCGAGTTTCCCATCTGGAGAATGAGGAGGTTGGTCTTGATCTCCGCCAGGGCTCTTCCAGTCCTCCTGCATCTCCCGTCAGAC